AAAAAAAAAAAAAAACGTGTAAGAAGCTGCACGAAACTGATGAATTGTAGGACTCTTTTGACAAGTACAAAATTACTTTGATTTCTAATAAATAGAAACGAAATGAAATTCATCATTTTACATCATTCCTTTAGTTACCGCTGCAGAACGTGAACTAAGAAATTTCGAAATGGAATTGTAAAACCCAGTGAATTTTCACTGTTGGTAGTTTTTAGCGTTAATTTCCGTCTAGCTCGCAGCAGCGAACCGGTTTCTCTCGTCTACCGGCCCAAACGGCGGACAGTTGCAAATAAGTTTCGGTACCTTTTTGGCCGTGGATTGACCGGCACATGCATACGCGAAATAGGAGGGTGCGCCGACTAATTGATTCTGGCGTCGCGGGCATTACATAAAACAAGTCGAAGCGAGGGCCCAGGAATTGGAGTTGGGTTGATTGGGCCCGTAGCGTGCGGCCGCGGGGGGCCACTCGTTAATAGGGCCCTGAAATGCCTATGCGCGAGCTCGTGTCTTTCTTTCTCTCTTCTCTCCTCTGGCTTTCATGTTCTCGTACTCGTGCCAGCTCACCTCCGCACCGCTTCTTCATCTTCTATAAGAACGTGTAACAAATATCGGCTCACACGAAACGTGATACCGTCCTCGCCGACACGCTGCACGCTTTCTACCTTTCTCTTCTGGTCTTCTGCCTCTCTTCTTTCCTTTCTCTTCTCACCCCATCGCGGCCCCTCGACGAATCCAAGCCGATACCCCCTGCACCGCCGTATACATTGTAAAGGATGCGCTTTAAAGTCGATTTTAATTTTGGATTGAATTTCGTACGCGTGTAATTTGCCCCGGTGAACTTTTATGTACTTGGCTCACACCAACGTTTGTGTTGCCACGTATTCGACCCGAGCTTTTTAAGGCCTTTCCTTAAAAAGATCTCTCGCGCGCGAAGCTTTTCTCGACTTCTCGAAGTATCGAGCAACCGTCTTCAGCGACGAAATTAATTTCAACAACTTTCGAATAAAGAAAAGCAACAAGGAAATTCAAGGAACAACTGTCTCTTTTGTAGTCGGCGTGGAAATTTAAAAAAAAAAATTAATGAGAATAATTCGAGTAATCTTCGGGGAAAATTTTCTTCGTAAAATTCATTTGTCAGCAAGCATTTCGACTTGTGTTATACCTGCTTCCTGTACACAGTGTCGCGAAAATATTAAAATATTCTCGCTCATAAAGGTGAGAAGCTGTCTATTGGACTAAACCACGCTCGTCGATATATTTTATACACTCGCAGAAGAGTCTGCTCGACTCTTGCTTATCGCAACGCGAGGGACAAATCACA